GCTTCTTCAGCGGCCGCGGGAAGTCGCCGCGCAGCGCGAGGAGCGAGGAAACCCAGGACACCCTGACGAAAAGCATGTGGTTTGTTGATGTGCGCCCCCACCGTACTGTTTTTGCTTTGACCATGTTGGAATCTCCCTCCCTTTTCCTCCTCCTCCTCCTCCTCCTCCTCCTCCTCCTCTCCTCCTCCCCTCTTCCTCGCTCCTCCTCCTCCTCCTCCTCCTCCTCCTCCTCCTCCCTCCTCCTCCTCCTTCCGCCCTCCTCCCTCCTCCCTCCTCCCTCCTCCCTCCTCCCCTCCTCCCCTCCTCCCTCCTCCCTCCCTCCATCCTCCTCCTCCTCCTCCTCCTCCTCCTCCTACTCCTCATCCCGGTAGAGGGGGCATGGAGGAGGAGGAGGAGGATGCGGAGGAGGAGGAGGAGGAGGACGGATGAGGAGGAGGAGGAGGAGGAAGAGGAGAAAAGGGGAGGAGGAGGAGCCCGAGGAGGAGGAGGAGGAGGAGGAGGAGCCCGAGGAGGAGGAGGAGGAGGAGGAGCCCGATGACGGCGCCGCCGAGGAGCAGCACGAGCAGCGCCGGGCTGCCAGAGGCCCACCCAGATTAAAACGACGCGAAGATCGGGACAACATCGGATCGGGACAACTCGAAATCTCTGAGAATCGGCGGGTCTGGAGGATGTATTGGGCGCCGCGGCCGCTCCAGAGCGTTCCGGAACGCTCTGAGAGCGCTCCGGAACGCTCTGGAGCGCTTTATCCCGATCCTAGCCTTGTTTTAAGAGGCCCACCCAGATGGGGTCCGAGCAGACGTTTCGAGGGGGGTCGACTGCCGAACTGATGCGCCCCGACATTGGCTCTCGCGTCGGGTGGGCGAGGGAAGTGCGTGGAGGGTTCGCAGATGTACGGGTCATTCTACGTATTCTCGCAGATTCGACGAACAGATCAATCTCAGGTCAAATCGGTGTTGCAGTCCATCCCCCACTCGAACGTTGGCGGCGGGCACAGGGGGGCAGGGGGAGGGGGAGGCTTCTTAGAAGGAGGATGCTTCTAAGAAGCTCTCCCCCCTCCCTCTACCCCCCTCTGCGCGTGGCCGGCTGTGGGAATGATGATGTTGGAGCACTGCGCCGCATCGGCGATAATAAGCAATAAAAGTACCCCTAACCCGTTGGGAGGGGACCTAAGTTAGGAGGGCCGAAAACATTAGGGATAGGGAGCAGATGTATCGAAGCGAGCCGCCGAAGTCTATTACCCCTAATGCGAAGACGGGGGCCTCAGTGAGGCTACGCCTTCATCGTGTTATTAGAGTTAAGGATTATGTAAATCCTCGAGGATTGGAAGACCGCGCCGCATCGGCCATGCATCGCTGACGAATATCTAAAATCGATACGGCCTGCGGGGCGGGGAGGAGAAGGACAAGGAGGAGGAAGAGGAGGCAGAGGAGGAGGAGGGAGAGAAGAAAAGGGGAGGAGGAGCAGGAGGAGGAGGAGGAGGAGATTAGGATGAGGAGGAGGAGGATGAGGAGGAGGAGGAGTGAGGAGGAGGCTGCAGAGAGGAGGAGTTTGTGAGGCGGGAGGAGGAGGAGACGGAGGGAGAGTTGGAGGGTGAGGGGGATGATGGGATTCAGGATGAGAGGAGGAGGGAGTCAGGAGGAGTAGGAGGAGGCGTAGGAGGAGGATGATTGAGAGGTTGGATGGGGAGAAGTGATGGGGCGTGACAGGGCAGCGAAAGATAAGGATGGGCCTAAGTCCGATTGCTTAGAGACAGTTTTTTGATTGGGCGGGTGACCGTATTGCCGGCGAGGGGCAGGAGGTATCCAGAGGAGGAGGACGACCTGCTCTGGCACCACAGGGGAGGCCTGGAGCGGCTCGGGCCGCGCCGCCCCGAAGGTCAATTTTTTCTTCCGCGACCAAGCATATGCGCATGAGTTGTGGTCCCTGGGCTCCAGGGTCAATTGGCCGAAGTTGTGGCGGGCCTGGCGGGCCTTCTGCTTCTCCTTCTCATTCCTCCCTCATCCTTGTCCTCGCCCCTCCTCCCTCCCTCCGCCTCCTCCTCTCCTTCCTCGCCTCCTCCTCCTACCCCCTCCTCCTCCCTCCTCCTCCTCCGCCTCGCCTCCGCTTCTTCCTCCTCCTCCCCTTCCTTGTTCCTCCTCCTCCTCCTCCTCCGCTCCTCCTCCGCTCCTCCTCCTTACGCATCCTCCTCCTCCTCCTCCACCTTTCTCCTCCTCCTCCTCCTCCTCCTCCTCCTTCTCCTCCTCATCCTCCTCCTCCTCCGCCTCCTCCACCTCCTCCTCCTCCCCCTCCGCCTCCTTCCCCCCTCCTCCTCCTCCTCCTCCGCCTCCTCCTCCTCCTCCGCCTTCCTCCTGCTCCTCCTCCTCCTGCTCCTCCTCCTCTGCTCCTCCTCCTCCTCCTCGCCTTCTCCTCCTCCTCCTCCTCTCCTCCTCCTCCTCCTCCTTCCTCCTTCCCACCTCCTCTCCTCCTCCTCCTCCTCCTCCTCCTCCTCCTCCTCCTCCTTCTCATCATCCTCATCATCATCATCACATCATCATCATCATCATCTCATCATCATCATCATCTCATCATTATCAGCATCATCAACATCATCATCATCATCATCCTCATCATCATCATCATCATCAACATCATCAGCAGCATCATCAGCAGCATCAGCATCATCATCATCATCATCATCATCATCGTTATCAGCATCATCAGCATCATCATCATCATCATCATCATCAGCATCAGCATCAGCATCAGCATCATCATCATCATCATCATCAGCAGCAGCAGCAGCAGCATCAGCATCATCATTATCCTCATCATCCTCATCATCATCCTGCCCCACCTCCTCCCTGCTACTCCTCCTCCTCCTCCTCATCCTTCTCCTCCTCCTCCTCATCATCGTCCTCCTCGTCATCAGCATCAGCATCAGCATCAGCATCAGCATCAGCATCAGCAGCAGCAGCAGCATCATCAGCATCAGCATCAGCATCAGCATCAGCATCAGCACCAGCACCAGCATCAGCATCATCATCAGCATCATCATCATCAGCATCAGCATCAGCATCAGCATCATCATCAGCATCAGCATCAGCATCAGCATCATCATCATCATCATCATCATCATCATCATCATCATCATCATCATCATCATCATCATCACCATCATCATCATCATCGTCAGCGTCAGCATTGTCAGCATCATCAACATCGTCCTCCGCCTCCTCCTCCTGCCCCCCCCCGTACTCCCTCCTCTTCCTCCTTGACCTCCTTCTCCTTCTCCTTCTCCTCCTCCTCCTCCTCCTCCTCATCATCATCATCATCATCATCATCAGCAGCAGCAGCATCAGCATCGTTCTCCTCATCCTCCTCCTCCTCCTCCTCCTCTTGCCCCCCCTCCTCCCTCCTCCTCCTCCTCGTCCTCCTCCCTCCTCTCCTCCTCCTCCTCGTCCTCATCCTCCTCCTCTCCTCCTCATCATCAGCAGCATCATCAGCAGCATCAGCATCATCATCATGAGCACCATCATCATCATCATCATCATCGTCATCAGCATCAGCATCAGCATCAGCATCATCATCATCATCATCATCATCATCATAATCATCATCATCCTCATCATCACATCATCAGCACCGTCAGCAGCATCAGAATCCAGTCATCATCGTCATCATCATCTCGTCCTCCTCCTCCTACTCCTCCTCCTGCCCCCCCCATCCTTCCCTCCTCCTCCTCCTCCGCCTCCTCCTCCTCCTCCTCATCCTCCTTCTCCGCATCATCATCATCATCATCAGCATTAGCATGCATCAACGCATCAGCATCAGCATCAAGCAGCAGCATCAGCATCAGCATCAGCATAGCATCAGCCTCAGCAAATCATCATCGTCATCATCATCATCATCATCCTCATCCTCCTCCTCATCCTCATCCTCATCCTCTCCTCATCTTCCTCCTTATCTTCTCCTCATCTTCCTCCTCATGTTCCTCCTCCTCCTGCCCCCCCACCCTCCTCCCTCCGTCTCCTCCTCCTTCCTCCTCTCTCCTCTCCTCCTCCTCCTCCTCCCCATGCAGCATCAGCATCGTCCTCCTCATCGTCCTCCTCATCTTCCTCCTCATGTTCCTCCTCCTGCCGCCCCCCCCCCCCCCCCACCCTCCTCCCTCCGTCTCCTCCTCTTCCTCCTCCTCCTCCTCATCCTCGTCCTCCTCCTCCTCATGCTCCTCCTCCTCCTCCTCCTTCCCCCCCTCCTCCTCCCCCCCTCCTCCTCCTCCTCATCCTCCTCCTCCTCCTCCTCCTCCTCCTCCTCCTCCTCATCATCATCATCATCATCATCATCATCATCAGCATCAGCATCAGCATCATCCTCATCATCATCATCATCATCAGCAGCATCAGCATCAGCATCATCATCAGCATCATCATCATCATCATCATCATCATCAGCATCATCATCATCATTATCATCATCGTCATCGTCATCGCCATCGTCATCATCATCATCAGCATCATCCTCATCCTCATCCTCATCATCATCATCAGCGTCATCATCGTCAGCATCATCATCATCATCGTCGTCCTCCTCCTCCTCCTCATCATCATCATCATCACCATCATCATCATCATCATCATCATCATCCTCATCATCCTCATCATCATCCTGCCCCACATCCTCCCTGCTCCTCCTCCTCCTCCTTCTCCTCCTCCTCATCGTCCTCCTCGTCATCAGCATCAGCATCAGCATCAGCATCAGCATCAGCATCAGCATCAGCATCAGCATCATCATCATCATCATCATCATCATCAGCGTCATCATCGTCAGCATCATCATCATCGTCGTCCCTCCTCCGAATCCTTCTCCGAATCCTCCTCCTCCTCCTCCTCGTCATCATCATCAGCATCATCATCAGCAGCAGCATCATCATCATCGTCGTCGTCGTCCTCCTCCTCATCCTCCTCCGCCTCCTGCCCCCCCCCCCTCCTCCTCCTCCTCCTCCTCCTCCTCCTCCTCCTCCTCTTCCTCGTCCACCCCATGATGCGCGGAGGCTCCGCGCATCAACACGGAGGCACAAAATAGAAATCGTCGCCTGCGGAAGCCGAGGAGCGGCGTGCGACCTGCGTCAGCCACGACTGACAAGAGGTGACCCACAGCCTTATAAATCACATATACGAGCGCGCTCCGCAAACAGCAAAGCAACTCCATAGAAAGGCAGTGAAAGTGAACAGGGCAAGAGCCTGAAAAAACTAGCAGTGGGTGAAATAAGCCTGAAACCGTAGGGATGCGGTCGCCACGGCTAGGAGAACTAGAAAGAAGATGGCCAGGGCTGGAAAGAGTGGAAGGGCTGGCCCCAGGCTTTTGTGCTAGCTTCCATGTGCTCTCAAAATAACCTGGATCCGCCGCGGGGGATCCAAGGTCCATGACATGCGGAAGACATGTTTCTCTCGGACGCTTTTGCGAGTGGGCACTTCTCGAGCAGCGGGATCAGAGGCTTCTGGACGTGGTCCGTCGTTGCCCACAGAGCCGAAGAATACTTGTCATCCGGAGACCTCTACCTTATAGAAAGCAAGGGCTCCCAACTTCGCTCTTCGCGCTGCGCGAAGCGCGAATAACTTTGCGCTCTCGCGCCGCCCCCCCGAAAGGGAGAAGAGGAGGACGAGGAGGAGGTTGAGAAGGAACGAGGACCGCGAAGCGCGACTGACTTCGCGCCCTGGAGGGGCGGCCTCGAGAAAGGGAACGAAGAATGGCATAAACAAAAAAAAACTCGGAGGCCCGCGCGGACTTCTCGCATTGGCGCTGGAGCCCCCGCGCCTCGCCGCTCCGGAGGCTGGACGCAGCGGTGCGAGAGCCATCCGCGCCCAGGCCCCCTGGGCGGTCCGCCTCGCTGCCAGGAGGCGATCGGGGGCGGACGGGCATGGCAAAAGGGCTGTGGTCAGGGGAACAAAAAGGTGACATCGACATACAAACTCGGAGGTCCGAGCGGATTTCTCGGATCGGCGCTGGGGCCCCCCCGGCGGCGCCTCGGCGCCGCCCCTGGCGCGCTCCGCGCGCCAGGGAGGGGGGTCCAGCGCCGATCCGAGAAATCCGCTCGGACCTCCGAGTTTTTATGTTGATGTCACTTTTTGTTCCCCCAGTGGTGAAACACTACCCGGTGTAGCGTGTAGCGCAGCAGGAAGGGCTGTGGTGAAACACTATCAGGAGTAGCGCGGCAGACGACGACGACGACGAAGACTAGGACGAAGATGACGGCAAAGAAAGGGCTCTGCGAAGTCGCAGGCGAACTGTTCTTCCTACCCCGCCGCCGCCGCCGTCGCCGCCGCTGCTGCCTGCTGCTGCCTGCTGCTGCTGCCTGCTGCTGCTGCTGCTGCTGCTGCTGCTGCCTGCTGCCTGCTGCTGCTGCTTGCTGCTGCTGCTGCTGCTTGCTGCTGCCTGCTGCTGCTGCTGCTGCCTGCTGCCTGCTGCTGCTGCTGCCTGCTGCTGCTGCCTGCTGCTGCTGCTTGCTGCCTGCTGCCTGCTGCCTGCTGCGGCGCCCGGCGGGTCTCCTCGGGAACTTTCCCTGCTCAGACATGGACGGCGTGATTTGTGTTATCAATCCCTGAGACCCGGGCGTCGCACTATTCTCCTCCTCCTCCTCCTCCTCCTCCTCCTCCTCCTCCTGCCCCCCCTCCTCCCTCCTCCTCCTCCTCCTCCTCCTCCTCCTCGCTCCTTCCTCCCTCCTCCTCCTCCTCCTCCTCCTCCTCCTCCTCCTCCTCCTCCTCCTCCTCCTCCCCGACGATCGGGCGGCTGGTGCGCGCGCGCCGAGCCCCCGCGGACCACTGCCACAGCAAATTCACTCTCCCCTCGGGCTGTCGCACCCGAGGTGCCCAAATCCGTCTGGACGGCGAGGAAGGCCAGCGATTGCCCTTCCTAGCAGTGCCCCACTGCCTGGCAGCGGGGCACTGCTAGGAAGGCAGTTGGGCGAGAAGCGGGCATCGAAACATCCACTCAACGGACCAGTAGTACGGCCCTTGAGCCAGTGCTTGCCTGGCCAGGTCCGGGTGCTCGTTATCTAGAAGCATGACCTCTTGGCGCTCCGCGCGATTTCTTGGATCTGCGCTGGACCCCCCTCCCCGGCGCGCGGAGCGCGCCAGGGGCGGCGCCGGAGGCGCCGCTAGAGGGGCCCAGCGCGGATCCAAGAAATCCGCGCGGAGTGCTAGTAGTTTATGTTGAAGGCTCTTTGCCTTCTTCGATGATCCTCCTTTTGTTAGGGACTCGAGCCGGGTTGCCCCCATACTTTCAGCCCTGCCAACGGATTCTTGAAGGGACCCTGGGACACACAAATAATACACACAAATAACAGGAATCCCAATATTTTCCAAGATGTTCTTGGTTTTTTGTCTGCGAATCGAGGATGAGTTGAGTCTGTGTGTTCTTTCCCTCCTGAATTCTACCAGTGAGGGCCTGTCCTTGCACTGGACAGCAGAACTGGGCCAGTCTGGCGGCCAGTGCGCAGGGGGTGGGGGAGGCTGCTTAGCAGGAGGCTGCTGCTCAGAAGGCGCCGGCCATACACTTGTGGATACCACGACAATGGACCCCTAACAGCCCTATCATTGAATGTAACATGTGTTTAAAATGTAGGACAACATGTTCCAAACATGTTTTGCCCATGTTGTTTACATGCTTAAACCATGCTTAACACGTGTTTTAGACATCTGGAAATTATTTGGCAGCAGGTTTCCTCTCCATTGATCGTCCTCCACAGCCCTAGACGTACAGACGAGGCCCGCACCTTCCGAGAAGCAGGGGCGGGGTGCTTCTGAGAAGCCTTCTAAAACAGGGCTAGGATCGGGATAAATCGCTCCAGAGCGTTCCGGAGCGCTCTCAGAGCGTTCCGGAACGCTCTGGAGCGGCCGCGGCGCCCAATACATCCTCCAAACCCGCCGATTCTCAGAGATCTCGAGTTATCCCGATCCGATTTTGTCCCGATCTTCGCGTCGTTTTAGAAGCCTTCCCCCCTCCCCCTATCACTCCCCTCCGCGCGCGGCCGCACGTGCACCCGCCTGTGACTCCGAGCAGGCCCTGCCCACTGCCCTGGGTGAGCAGAGGGGCGCGAGCCCGAAGAGAGGGGCCCAAAGACTGCGCCCCTCCAACGGGGACTCCACTAACGGGTACCTTTGGCCAGCGACCCAGCGAACCCAACCCTCCCCGATGTGGGCAACGCTGCAATGCCACAAAGAGGCCCCAAAGTGGCAACTTTCGGCAAGATTGCAAAAGTACCCGTTAGTGAGTACCCGGTACGGTCGGGAGCGGCCAAGAGGGGGGTGTCCAAGAGGGGGGGGTGCACATCATGACCGGCGGCATGTGCGCGGCCCAGCGGGGGGGCCAGGGACGTAATGAAACAAGAAGAGGCGCCATGAAATCTGGGAAGATATCATGGCCCACGCCATGATATCCACCCCCCCTAGTCATCACCCCCCTCTTTTCCGCCCCCGACAAAAGTACCCGTTAGTGAGTACCCGGTACGGCGCCGCTGAAAAGACTGCGCCCCCGAGGGCCGGGGTGGCCTCCGTCTCCTCGATGCCGCCCACGCGCGCCCTGTCTGCCTCGTCGTCGCTGCCCCGGTGCGCGCGGTGCTCTGCTCATGGCGCGCACTTCGGGCACACGCCAGGATTTCAAGGGCCCCAGGGACGCACCAATTCGCCGGCCCAACGGGCCAGAGGCGTGCTAAGATCTCCGGTAACTTGTTAACAATATTTCTAGTTCGCGCGCGCGGAGCGGCCCCTGGGGGCCCCCGGACGAAAAGTACCCCGGCAAGGTCCCGAGAGAAGCCCGGGAGAAGCCACCAGACCACTCCAGGGGAGGGTATTTTTCGACACCCCTCACGAGGATCGTGGCCTCCGAGGGGGGAGCCGCAATCGACTACCCCCAAGAGCCCCCCAAGAGGCCCTGGGGGCCTCCAAAACGCCGCCAAGGAGCCCCAAGAGACTCCCAAGAGGTCCCCAA